TGCTGAATACCCCAAAAGTAACAAATTGCAACTGATTATTTGAACCAGCTGAAAAGCAAGGAGAACCCAACCTATGAAATGTGTTAAATCTTGCTGTGTCTCTGAAGCTGTGCACTGGAATGTCAGCTGAAGTTGTTCATTGTTCAATGTTTTCTGATTTTATTGTTTGGTCCCCAGTTAATTCAGCAGCTGGAATTAGTTTACTCTGGTCTGAATGGTTCAATAGCTGTTACAGGTATCTTCATGATGTGGTGTTCTCTGGTTTTAATTGTCACTTCCTAATAATATCCTACCTCATTTTTTATTTTTTCTTATTACCATTTCTACACTCCATTTAGCTCACTTTATTTTAATTAAAGTAAGTTCCTGGTGTTCATTACCCTGAATAGTATTGAGTGGCTTTCTGTTGCTGAACCACACTGAGGTCCTCTTTTTTTTTTTTTTACCTCTAACAAATGATGCTAGGAATTTTGAGAACAATAACACATCCTTTGCAGAGGATGAGGCATATGGAAAAAAGTTTCAAAGATTGATTCAACAGCTGTGACATTGTTTCCTTCCCTTACCTTTTTTCTGCTTTGTGGTTTGAGTTCTTTCGATTTTTTTTTTTTTTCAGTCCTCCTTCAGGGGAGGACTAACTTTTTTTTTTTTTTCCCCCTCATTAATAGCTGTGCCTTCTCTAGAGATACATTAATGTAATTTCTCCACAGAGGCACTTACACTTGAAGGAGCATTTGCAATAGTCTCTGCCTGAAGCCAGCTCTTTCTTCTGATTTTTTTCAACCACGGAGAGATTTCTGAACTTTTGGTGTGACTTCACACTGACAATCAACGTTGTCATACTGTAAACAGTAGCGTCACCCACTCTGAGATGTTTCCTAAGGTAAGGCTGTTGAATGTTAACTCGTAAAACTATTGCTTAAGTGTCACTTTTATTTTTTTCTCATTGCATTTAAAAAGGAAATTTTTCCCACTGTTTGGCCGCACAGTGGATCCTGTAGCTTTACTAAGCAGGTGCCAGAACAGCGTGAGTTTTCTGTCCTACCCGCGTTAGCAGTGCGTGAAGCAGAGCTGGAACTGGACAGGAGTGTTGTTTGACTCGGACCTTTCTCCCTCCGGCTGCGGTGGTAGGTTAATATTTAACTGCTTCGGCAGTAGGAAATCCTCCAGAAATCTCATCTCCGAAATCCCTTTTCAAAAGTAGCTGTACTTGAACTGCTGGACCCCGATAGCAAAGGTGAACTTTGTGCGAATTCACACAAAGAAAGGCTTTATTTGGGATTTCTGGAGTAGCCCTTCCCTTCCTCTGTCTCCTTTAAAGGAATTTTACTGAACAATGGGGGAAATTTTTTCTACAGGAGGCTGAATGAGAAGGGGGCTAATGAGCCTGAGTCATCTTTTACAGCTGACAAATGTGTCCATTTAAGTAAGACACTACTCATGGCTTAAACATTGTTCACTCCCATTTTGTAAATGTACGAGCAGGGCTGTGGTTTGGCGTCGGACCTGCAACTTGACATAACATTTCAGAATCATGACATTGGCTTTGTACGTGGGGTTGTTTGGGCAGCTGATCGACAGCACCTCCACCTTGGGCACTGAAGGCTGCTATTGTTTCCTCTGAAAGACTTGTAAGACTGGACACTTGAACAGAATAAAAAAAAAATTCAATTTTTAATTTGCATTTTCCTTGTATGTCTGCTTTCTTTTAAGTTTTTTTGTATGCAACGGCACTTAGCTTTCACCAGCTTGCTTTTCAGAAGACAGATGTTAATAATTCCAGCTATTGTGGAGGATTATTGGGATTTTTTAATCATCACACGAATCCATGTGGGTTATGACATTCCTTTATGAATAAGCAATAAGTAGATGTACAGCAAAAGAGGTGCAGCTCAGCGACAAGCCTGGACTGCCCTCCGTGTTTCACCATCGCTTGAGCAAACAGCTGAAACTGTTCGTGTTGCCAAGAATAAGACACTTGGAGTATTGCCTCCATAGTCCTGCAGGAGCTCGGTTGGGTTTCCAAAATGCATATTGCTCTCTCCTAGGAAAGGGACAGGGACTGAAACCAAGGGAGAAAACTCCCCATTGCCATAGAAATTGTGTCTGCAGCCGACTACGGGTAGCAATGTTGCAGTGTGTTTCCTCGCTGTCTGCCCGCCCCGTGCACCTCTGCAGCTGCCGGGTAGCGGCTTTCCCAATGAGCGTCTTTACGGTGTTACAGGGAATCAGTCTGGAACTTCTCAAAGGCAGTTGGAGTTTCTGGGCAGCTCATTTACTGTACAGAAAGGGATTTCTCTGGTGTTTGCCCTTCCCTGCCTTCCTTTGTCCAAGACTGCCTGACCCCAGGGATGTTGGTCCCGTTTCAGTGGCAGGAGCAGCGAGCGGCGGTGATGCTGGTTATCAGTGTTGATGAGTTTCAGTGAAGCTCTTAGTGGGATTGCACCGAGAAAGGAGAGGACAAAATGCCCCAAGGGCTCACTTGGACAGCAGCTCCTCTGGGCAAGGATTTACCAGCTCTGAATAGCTGAGCTAAAGGAAAGAATAAAAGGCAATATATATATAAAAAAAAAAAAAAAGGTGCTTGCTGGGTTCCTCCAAGAGTAGTACAGTGATGGGGTAAAGAGCTGATCTGTCTCTGCTGGAAAAATACTTCTAATCCTGATAACTCCAAATTTTCTGCATAGCTTACTGGAAAGCAGAGTAAAGATGCCGTAGAGGCAGCTGGAACTATACTGGTTTTATTCCGGTAAAATCCTCTGGCCCTGTTGCACCATCAGCTTTTTACCCTCTGATTTTTGAGGAAAGTACCTGTCTTGTTTTCACCTGATGATGACGGTGAGAATTCTCTTGATGGAAAATGGCTGCATTCCTGAGGCTTCTGATAACTTGAAAGAGAGGACTACCCAGACAGGGAAAAAAAAAGCATTTGAGTATCTTTGCCATTTTAAATAGAAATGAATATATTACTTAATACAGTTCAAAAGCTCATTGTTATTGTTCCCATGCTCCTTGTTTCCCGTTAAATACTCTGTCACTTGTTGCTGATTGTATTCAAGACTCCGGGAGAGGTGACGAGAGATGTAGCTGAGATTTTTTTCCTCACCTGATCGCCCTGGCAGCTCCCAACAGCAGCGTTTGACGCGAGCGCTGAGCTGCTTAAACTGGAGAGCTGGCAAGCTGGCGGGGCTGCCGATGGTTTCAATGGGAACCTCGTATTGACGGTAATCCTGCCGGTCCAAAAGGCATTGGAAGCACTCGTGCTTTGTCTGCTGCAGGGTTGTCTGTGGTCCAGGTGTCCCTCACTCCTGTCCCTTTCCTGCAGACGGGATGGGCTTGGGCAGCCTCCAATGGCATTTGCCAGAAGCGCAGTTTTCTTGGGGAGCTGGCGGGAGAAAATGTTGGTAACAGTCTGGAAAAGAGCTCTGGGGGGAGGAAGGGAAGGACAAGGGGCCATTTCCCAGTTCTGTCCCAGTACTTTCTACTTTCCTTATTTAAACTTACTGGAAGAGCCCTTTCCTGCAGACGGGATGGGCTTGGGCAGCCTCCAATGGCATTTGCCAGAAGCGCAGTTTTCTTGGGGAGCTGGCGGGAGAAAATGTTGGTAACAGTCTGGAAAAGAGCTCTGGGGGGAGGAAGGGAAGGACAAGGGGCCATTTCCCAGTTCTGTCCCAGTACTTTCTACTTTCCTTATTTAAACTTACTGGAAGTGAAGATATTTACAAAGGTGACATCCTTCTTGCTGACTTTTTTTTTTTTTGGGTTTTATGTGGTGGGGTGGTTTTCCTTTTGCTGAAAACATCTTTCTAAGCCTCAGAATAGGAGCACATCCGGAGTGGGAAATAACCGAAGGACTCCGAAGGATTGGCACTGGTGGATGCTCCTGTAACCAGGATGGGTTGTGTCTGTCTCCTAGCTCATGCAAGCGGTGATCTCTGGTGCTTGCTGTGCTGCGATGGGGCATCGCCCACGGAGCAGGAAAGCTGTGGTTTGCTGTCGCGCGTATGAATGAAACCAACTTCTGAAGTCATCGTGCGTGCGCAAGGGGGCGAGTGGAGAGGATGACGTGTTAATTGCTGAGAAAAAATGACTGGGAAGGAGAAGTGCGTGACATCACGAGTGACGGCGGTAACAGAGAGGGGCTGGGGAGTGGCGTGGGAGCACATGTACACGGCGAGTTTCACATTTCCCTGGATCGCTGCCTCCCGGTGAGAGGGGAGGTGGGTCCTCACGAGATCGATGGACAGGCAATAGCTGCAGCGAGTTTTCCACTGGTTACACATCTTCCTTAAAAACACTTCAGCTCCCATCTGTTGGTGAGAGTCTGTTAACAGGAAAGAGGAAACACTTGATTTTTTTCTTGATTTTTTTTTTTTTTTTGAGTTTTGCAGCATTGGAGGCTGATTGTTTCTCCTCCAATGATTAAAGTGATTCTGTGATTCTGTGAAAGTCTCTGGCAAAATTTAGCTTTTTAAACTACTGAATTCATATCCTCTTGTGTGCAGAGAAAAGCTTGAAAACAAGCTGTAAATGCTCAAAAATATGTTTTCCAGTGAAAACGCTGGCTTCCCTTTTTATTAAAAAAAAAAGGGAAAAAACTTTAACAAGATGGGGAGAGATTTTTATACAGAGCTGATTCCCTTACAGAATAGAGGACTTTTTTTTTTTTGCAGACAACATCTCTTTAAGATGGATTTTCAGTTGCTAGCAGATATATTTGGAAGAAAACACCTTCCCATGAGCATTTTGCACTCCCATTTTGCTGGGTTTTTTGTTTTGTGTGGGTTTTTTGGTGTTCTGGGGGTTTTTTTTGGCTGGGTGAGCGATGCATAAAACCGCCCCCGTCATGTTATTTCTTTGGGGAGCGCTGCTGAAAGGATGTCTTCAGTGTTTCCTGCAAGAGCCAGGCAATTTTTTTTTTTCTTTTTTTTTTTTTCCTCTCTGGAGAGAAAAACCTTCCCCCGGTTCCCGTGCGGACGCGCTGGCCGGGAGCGCCATCGCTGGGCTGGCCGCCGGGCTTCGCTCCTCTGCCTCTTCCACCCGGTTTCTGCTTTTTCCTCTGGTTTGGACTTTTGCCATCTCCTGGGTGGCTGAAGCCCCTTCCAGGTCAGTGGGCTGAAGTGCCGATGGAGCAAAAAGCACCCTGTAGGAGCCCGAATTGACGCTTTAAATTTGTTTCAGAACTTTTGGATCTTTTCATCCTACTTGAATCTTCTTTGACCTCCCTTATCTTGTTTTATCTCTCTTTACAAGCTTCGCTGCTCCATTTTTTCGCTCTGAGTTATTAATTAAAACAGTGATTTCTCCTTGGAATTAAGAAGCGGATCAAGTTTGCGGTCACACATGAGCAGAATGTTTTTATGCACCGAGAACCAAAGCAAAACTCTGCAGCCCCGAATGTCCCCGCCAGGAACAAACAGCCAGTGACAGGGACAAAATTCCTCGAGCAGCAGCTCCGCTGGCTGTGCAGCAGTCCGGCTGCCCCGTGCCGGTTTTTATCACATGCTGGGAACGGGATCACGTGGAGAGGCGGGGAGTCAGCCCTGCAGAGCCTGGGTGGTGTTGGTGGTGGGATCCTGGCAGCTCGCGCCTCCGATGGCATTTGTAACCCAGCATCAGATCCAACAGGTAAGGAACCGCGCCCCGGGGACGGAGCCTGTCTGCAGTGCAGGCAGGGGACACTGCTTGTAGGATGTGGTCACTGCTGGTGAACCTGTGACCGGGTCTAGCAAAGATCTGCTTTACAACGCTTCACATTCTTATCAGCTTCTTGCATTGCGTTCAGTCTGAGGGTGCGAGCACCCTGCCGTGGCTACCAGCTCTTCCAGAGGGCAGCTTGTCCTGCTGAGCTCTTGGAGGAATTTCTCTTGTGCTTTTCCATCTCTGCTGCTCAGCTCTCATCCGGGAAGTCACAAATCTGCCTGTCTAAGGATAATCCCCAGGGTATTCTATATAAAGAAACGGTCGTGCCAGCAGAGTTCACTTCATTTTGTAAGGGATTGTGTAGTCAACCATGAGGAATCACCCAGGGGTTTTCCCTTAGAGGAAGCAATGCTCCCCAGCTTGTAAAGAAATCTCGTTCTTATTTGGAAACCAGGTATGACTGCTCTGGGCATGTTAGCAGACTTTGTAATTTAATAGTTGCTGGTTGCACATCTCAGATAAGATATCCTTAAGCCACACAGGCTCTAGGGCTGATATCTTCTCTGCTTTGTGGACTGAGGGATTGAGATATGTTGTTCTTAACCCTATGGTATCTGAGCCTGTTAACAAACACTTTTTTTTTTTTTTTTTTTTTTTTTTTTTTAAAACTGAAACTGAAAATTCAGAGCAGGTTGCCCAGCTGCAGAGCTGAAGCTGGGATGCTTTTCACACCGAGCTGAGGCACAGCAAAGGGCCAGAGCTGTTTCCTTGGGCTCTGTGCTGCCTCCCCCGAGGACGCCGCAGTCACCCTGTCTCTTCCAGTTCCACAGGGATGGCTTCCTTGTCCTGGAGCATTTTTTCACTGCAGAGGAGTGTGACAGCATGAGGAATCAGATTCAGAGGATCATAGCGGAGATGGAAGTGCCGCCGCACTGCCGCACCGAGTTCTCCACCAAGGAGGAGGAGCAGCTCCAGGCGCAGGTACCGGGGGGGACGGGGCTGTGCCCAGCCGAGAGCTGCTCAGGATTCACTCTGGGGGAACATCACCCTTTCTTGTAACTGGACCTAACGCTGTGAGAGGCGTTTGCTCTCCAGCTCTCTGCAGGTGTTTGGTGGAGCCCTCGTGGAGGGTGCAGGGGAGCGTGCGGTGGCTCTGCTCTGCTCTCAGCCCCCAGCTGCTGCCCCTGCAGCCACAGGCAGCTCTCGCACATCACTCGGTACCTGCTCTGCAGACAGAAAATAGCTAATTTTCCAGGCAGCCAGCAAAAGAAAAGCAAGGGTCGCCTCTCTGTGAGAGGTCCTTGTGAGGTCCTCACCCATGCCAGGAGATGTAGCACTGGGGGAACCTTTGTTCGAGCGATTTCTATTGACTGTGTTTTGTTTGTGCCGCGGCTCGGTGGGAGGAAGATGCAGGTGAGTGTTAACGCTGTGATTAAAGGTTCATTTATATTTTTACAAGGATACTATCTTTACTGGGCTCTTATCCCTGGCAGGGTAGCTCGGATTATTTCCTAACCAGCGGAGACAAGATTAGATTCTTCTTTGAGAAAGGCGTTTTGGATGAGAGAGGTAAGCCCTGGGTTAGCCCCAGGGAGGGGGCAGGAGGCAGCTCAGCGAGGGGTCAGGGGCCGGTTTCTAGCTCTAGGGACAATTCCTGCTTTGCAAACAATGTGAAATTCCGGTTTTGTTTTGCAGGTAACTTTCTAATTGCAAAGGAGAAATCTATCAGCAAGATTGGCCACGGTAGGTTTGAAGGATGGGGCTTTGAGAGGGATGAGCTTTCAGACAGGAGGATTTCTCCAGACCTGCTCACTGTAAATAACCTCAGCCACCTGAGCTGGAACCTTTCTGAGCAGAGAAATGACTTTTCCTTCTTCTGCTGCTTCTCTGTGCCCCCGGGGAGCACTGAAGCAGATATCACCCACCTCCCCCCCGCTTGCAGTGTGGCCCCGCAGCTCCTGTCCCTGCTGCTGTCCTGCTCCGGGTTTCTGCATTCAGCTCTTCACATTGGTTTCTGCACGTCAGTCTGCTTTTCTCCACATTGCTCTGTCTCTGCAGTTCTCTCCGTGCTGCCCCTCACTCTCTGCTGTCAAAGGATTTAAAAATCTTCTGTTACAATACTTAAAAAAAAAAAAACAAAACAAAAAAAACCCTTCCTGGAGGTTTTTCAGCTGTGCATAGCTCCGAGCCACTGACATGTGAAAGTTTGGACTTCAGCCCTTGTCTCTTTTATGTAAGAGATTGCTCTGACAGATTTACCACCTGAGACCGGTCCCATTCGGTACGGATCCAGCTGTGTCCCCTGTGTCCCCTGCAGTGGTGGGTTCCCAACGCTGAAGCTGTCCTCCCTCCCTTGGTGTCACCAGCACCTCTTCTTTACCCTTCCTGGTTTCAATCTGACCTATTTCCTCTCTCCCAGCTAAAAAGAATTGTGCTTTGACCCTTTTTGTTTCCAAACAATACATGGAAGAGGAGAGCAGGTTTCCCTGCGGCTCCGGACACATGAACTGTGTCCAGATTGAACTTCACTGAACTTGGAAATTCAGTACTCGGAGTTCTCGGTTCTTTGGTTTTCTCAGAAAAACCCTCTCCCCTCCCAGTCGCCTGCTGTTCTACTTCAGCTTTTCCCCAGGGGAAGGGAAAACAACTCTTGATGTCTGCTGACTCAGCAATTTAACCATTCCAAGGGCTTTTCTAGACTTAGTTTTTGTTATTGTTCCTTTTGGTCGAGTCTTGCCTCATCCCTTGCTGGGGAGCGGCCCCCGCTGGACCCGGCCGTGCGTCCTCCTGGCGAATTGGATCACGACGAGATGGAGGCACGATTCCAAGTCTCTGATTTATGGTTTTGTCGGAGCTGGGCTGCAGCAAGTGCCTGTGCACAAACAGCTCTGACCTGCCAGCTGTGGTCCTCTGCGCAGGGCACCGACCATCAGCTCCAGCTCGTTTTTTGCAGAAATAGCTTTTTTGGTAGGTCTCAAGAACTGTTTTCTCTAAAGGGTGAGTTCACCTCTGTGCCTCAAGGTGGTTGTCATATTGGCATTTGCATAATATAAAACTTAATCACATAAGACTCAATTTTTTTTCATTTTGCTAGACGCTATTTTTTATATAGCCGTGGTTTGTGGCCAGTGAGTGATTATAGTTTTGTTTTCTGAAGACGATTGTACAAATCTACGAGTGTCGAATCACCTTAGGTGTGATAAGCCGCATAGATCCCCCCTTGGGAGGGATGAAGGTTTCTGGTTGCAGTTTATCTGGCTTGGCTGTCACCTCTGCAGCTCATCATTGGGAGCTGCCAAATTCCCGTCCGTTCATTAACTCCTCAGTCTCTGCCTTTTCTCTCCCCTCAGCTTTACACGCTCACGATCCTGTCTTCAAGCAAATCACCCACTCTGCCAAGGTGCAGGTGAGCTCGTACTGTTTCCTAGAATGGTCTGGGGGGGAAAAAAGAGATTATGAAGAAGTGAATCTTAATTTTCTAGATTCTGAGGATAGTAATTTTGTCTGTAAAAAGAAATATAAATATCTTCAAATAGTGATGCTTTATAGTGTGCAGAAAACAGCACACGTGAATCTTGGAAATTCCTTTCTTGCAGGAATTGGGAAGGAAACTCGGCCTCGAGAGACCCGTTATTGTGCAAAGCATGTACATCTTCAAGGTACAGTAATTCAAGCAGTCTTGTCACCCCAGAAATAGGACCCTGTTGGGTGGGAAGCTGTGAAACTCTTCACACATCACCTTTCTTTCCTTGCAGCAACCTGGCATTGGCGGTGAAGGTGAGATGCGTATTATCTCTGTATCACGCTGCAGATAATACTCCTTCAGGAAAGGAGAAAAAGGCTCAAAATCAGACCTAAGCCTGGGAGTTTGGTGCTCCAAACCTTCTTAAAATGATTGAAAAGCATCCCAGAAATGTTTCTACATCATATGCAACTTGAACAAAGAGCTATTTTTAGATTTGCCCCAGGCTGAAGGGGATATCTTCGTGTTTGATTTAAAGTGTGGGATGGGTGGGCAGCGTGGGTCAGGTGGAGCAGTCAGGGGGGACCAGCTGCCGTCCTACGGTGCTGAATTCCTTGGGCATTAAAAGACCCCGATGACGGTGTCTCGTTGCAGTGACCCCGCACCAGGATGCCACCTTCCTGCACACGGAGCCGCTGGGCAGGCTCCTGGGGTTCTGGATTGCCCTGGAGGACGCCAGGCGGGAGAACGGCTGCCTGTGGTTCATCCCCGGCTCTCACACCAGTAAGAGTCACGGTGGCACGGCGCGGGCTGCGGAACGTGCTCCCTCCTCGCGGTTAAGGGTGGGAGGGGGCACGGATCACGTCATGTTCTCCGCATCAGTGCCTGCGGCAGCACACTACTGTTCTTGTGTGTTGAAAGGACAACTTCGTTTACTACAAGAATCTCCCCCTGTGCTGTTGTCAAAGCTACAACCACATTTCTCAGCAGGTTATTAACTGCTTCCCTTTGCTCTTGGGCACCAGTCCATCACACGAGTCTCATACAACAACATCTTTTAATGAAAAATAGGTAGTGTAGCATACATGACTGACACGGTGTTTGGTTTTAAGTTGATATCTAGCCTAGAAACAAAGTACCAGGGTACCAGCGCAAGGAAATTTTTATTTACTCCAGGATCCGTTAAGGTGATGCCCATTAAAACTGCTCCTGGATCTTTCCTGTTCGCTTCAGTGTCATTTCAGAAGCTTCCCCTGCAAGATTCAGGCTCTGCCTTGGAGGACACTGAGATTTGAGACTTCGATGTAAAGAAGGTCTTAAGCCTCTGGGTCCTTTCTTCCTGCAGTGGAACAGGTCATTGCTGTAGGGTGGTGCTCCTTCAACACATTCACCAAGCCTCATCTAGCCTGCAAAGAGAAATAATCCTCATTTTGCCTTCTGGAGTGGGAATACACTGAGAAATAATTATTTTTTTTCTTTTTTCTTTTTTTCTTTCTTTTTTCTTTTTTTTCTTTCTTTTTTTTCTCTTTCTCTTTTTCTCTTTCTCTTTTTCTCTTTCTCTTTCTCTCTTTCTCTTTCTCTCTTTCAATCCACTCACAAAACTGTTTGCTTTCCAGTTTGCATCCCCCTCACAAAGTTCCCCTTTTTTTGCCCTGTCTGATAAAATGTTTAGTACAGCCAGCCCTGTTTAAGGGGAATAAAAATTCTCTTCCACACACACACACAGAGCTGTCAAACATGGGTCTGAATTTCAGTAAACAAGGAAAACCTCCAAGTCTACGCAAGGATCACTTGGCCACCATCCAAACCATCAGAGAACAGTGTCCCGGGGGAACCCAGAGCCCCAGCCAGCCCAGCGCAGGCTCGCGCGATGCCTGCTGTCTGCTCCGTGTGTGTAACCACTGCTGGGTGACCAGCAGCTTTCTGGTTTTCAGCAGCTCTGGGACACCCTGATCAGCTTTCAGCTGTTGCTCGCCTGGAGCATTCGCTCGATGAGCGCAGTCATAGCGCTCTGAGGATTTTAAGGTGCTCATCCCTCAGAAATTCTGGGGTTGGCTGCGCTCTGGTTGCAATCAATTGATGCTCTTAGAGGAAGGAGAAATGGACCAAAGGTGTGCACACGTGTGTGACTGTCGGTGATCCTCAAGGGCTGTGTTGCAATCTATAGAAAGAAGCAGAAGGCAAACAAAAGGCGGTTCTTTATTTATTATCATTTATTTATTTATTAATTATCATTATTATTTCTGCCACAGCTGGAAGATCTTAAATCTTTGCTTAATGAAAATAACCCACCCAAATTACTAAGGAAAAAAAATGAATAAAGTTCCTATCATTGCCAAGAGAAGTCACAGATGTAGTTCCTCTGCTGTGCAGAACGTTGATAGTTGTTCAGATTTTAGGTGTGTTGGCTTATTCTGTGGATTTGCAGGTGGAGTCACCCGGAGGATGGTCCGTGCAGCTGCAGGTGCCTCAACATGTGTGGAGTTTGTAGGGTCAGAGCCAGCCTACGACGACAGCCGGTTCCTCCCTGTGCCTATAAGTAAAGGTAAAACCAGCCCCACACAGCTCAGCGTTACAGCTCGAGAAAAACGAGAGCTGGAATCGTGTTTTAACTCTTGCGACTTCCCTTGTATTTTAAAGCCAGCACGCACAATTTGAAAAGAGCAGTGCAGATGTTTCCTTCACACAGGTGGGCTCATCCTCATCCACGGTGAAGTTGTCCACAAGAGTGACCTGAACAGCTCGGAGTCCTCTCGCCACGCGTTCACCTTCCACGTGATGGAAGCCAAGGACACCAGCTGGAGCAAAGAGAACTGGTAAGGTCGCCCGCAAGCACCCGAGGGACTGGAGCCTGTGCAGTGCCAGAGCCAGGATCAATGTTTGTTGGTAGCAGGTCTGGTGGTTGGACCTCAGCTGGCATTGATTTCCTACCCGTAGAACTGGAGCAGCCTTTGAAGTTCTGTTTCTGCCTCTCCCTTACTCCCTAGGCTCCAGCCAACTCCCGAGCTGCCTTTTCCATCGCTCTACACGTGAAGTTGGTGATTGGCTGCTGGAGTCAATAGCTGATCCATCTTCCTTTCTGATCCTTGCTTCACGTTCCCTTTAAATACGACTTTCACTAGATCAGCTCTCGAGATTAACTTCTCTTCTCAGACGAGGACCCTTGACACAGCCGAACACCTCGGTGTTAAACCTTCTGCTCCAGCACAAGCCCGCTGGCGTGAGAATATTCGCCCAGTCCTTTGGGTAAGGAGACTTCTTCGGTCTTGAGAGTAGACCATTAAAGACCATTGCACCTTGACTGGGACCAGTTAAATATTTCTTCTTGCAGATAGTATTCTGTTTAAGTCAAGAGCTTGTCTGGTGCGGTTCTTGGCTGTGTCGATCCCAGCAACGAGGTGAACGTGTGATGTGGAGGGGGCTGACTTTTGCCCTTGGGTCTCTGTCCTATTGTTTGAATAATAGCGATGAAAAATAATCCTGTCGCAGGCAAAACGAAGCAGGATGTCTACTTTTATAATCAATCTTCTAAGTATTTCTAGCAAAGTGTAGCTGAGTGTTTGATCTCTGGTGCGATGAGTAAAAATATTACAGTTCGTGAAGACTGATGTTGAAATTACAAAAACAACCCCCCCCAATCAAACTCCTAACATTTAAATAAAAGGTCAGAATTTCTCTGGTTTGCCTCCCTCATCTTTTCTTTGAGGGAGACACAGTGTGACCTTCTCTCAGGAGATGGGGCCAGTGCAGAGGTGTCTGGTGACCAGTTTGCACTCCCGATGTGCACGAGAACAATGACTATCCCCAAAACCTAACAGAAGCAACCCACCCCGCTTATAGCGAGGGGAAACCTAAGGAGGGTTAAGAAACGTGAGTTACAGCCGAGGCAAGCTCGAGCCTGCCTCTTGAGCAGAGCAGAAGCCAGGTAGGTGTGATTTCACTGGCACCAGTGCAGTGGCAACCCTGGGATCTGAGCCCAGCGTCATCCACGCACTGATTGCATCGTCGTCCCGGCGGTGAGCCCTGGGGCTCTTACCAGCTCATCCCTTCCAAAAGCATATCGTCTGCCTCTGGCTTGTGTTCAACGTGAAATAGTCAAATTTGTTTTCTGTATGGGAAGAAGTTTCTTGTCCCTTTGGACTCTGCTGGGCAGCACAGAACAGGGTCAGGGCAGCAAAGAATTCCTGACGGTGAGGCGGCTGCAGCGGGGATTCGGTGGCAACAGCAGTAACCTCGAGTTCAAGGTTTCTGCAGGTTCAGCTGCTGCCCTCCTTTACCTTTCCTACAGTTTGAAAGCTCTGAGCGGGGTGGAGGAAAAATAATCCTGGTATTATTTCATGATGCTGATGGTGAAGGCTGTGGCTCGTGATGGAAGCAGCCAAAGCTTTTTCCATATCTTTCCATCAGCAGAGTTACTAGAACAGCACCTTTCTGCTGAGGAGCGATAGCTTCTCCTCTGATTATATGCGCCACGACCTGCAATGTACAAACCTATCATAAATGCAATAAGCTGGATTGGATTTGCAGGATTCCCTGTTAAACGTGAAGGAAAGTCAGCCTAGCACAACTGAGTTTGGTTTCCTACAGTGAGCATCTGACAGTTTATTGCGATATTTTGACATCTTCAGGCAAAGCAGCGTCAAACCTCGGGAGCCCTGCCCAGGGAGCGGGGTGTACATTGGGTGATGCTGCCTCGGAGCTTTTCGAGTCCTGGCTCGCCGCAGGGACAAACGCAGTGTTGGATTCCGGGGCCAATTTTGCTGCCGCAGCTGCTGGCCCACAGCACCGGTTTCACTCCACCCCTCGTCTCGGGGCCAGGACAGCACTGGGTCAGGTATCTTGGACTCGAACAAAACTGTTCCCAAAAGTGAACAGAACTGTCAGAAACTGACTTCATCCTGCAAACGAGTCCTGGAATGCAAATCTTCTGCTTGGGCACTTCTTGGGAAGGGAAGAGGCAGGGAGGACACGGGTTAATGTGCGTTGTTCCAATGGACACTGGGCAAACTGGCGAGACGAGACTGTCAATACAGAAGTGTTTAATACATAAAATTTAGGTGAGTTGTTTTGGCCACAAAACAGTTGTTATAATTCTAATTAAATTGACAGAATTAAATTACTTTATTCAATTTGTTGATAGAAGCATTTTTCTAAGTGATGTGATGAAACATCTAGCTGAAAAAAATGTGAAAAGTAGAAAACTGCAATAGTATTACAGAAGTTTATTCACAAATTTTCTGCTTTCATGATTAACGTGCAGCTAGTTTTATCTAGTTTGCTTAGTTTTTTCCCTCATATTGAATATTATTCCAAATTAATTTAGAGATTAAAATCTGGAAGAAGATAAAACATTTTTCTTGTTGCATAAGCCACCAGAGCTAAAACTGCAACTCTTGTTAGTACTGTTTGGGCTGAACAGTCTCTTAAACCTTCCCTGCCTGCCCCGGAGAAAAGCAGATATTGTAACTCCTGAATGTGAAGCAGTGTTCGTGCATCCCGGTGCATCAGTATGGCTCTTGCTGATGGTGACTGGATACGTCTGGAAAGTTGTAATCGCTCTGTGTGGCCATCAAACATGCTTGAAACGGTGCTCACAGAGAAACAAGGAGTTCACACGTTCAGCAATACAAGGCGGCAGGACTCAGGACAGCAGAACACGCTTTGGCTCTGATACAAGGCAGAGGTGGCAACAGCTGAGAGGTCTGCTGATTTTTATTTTTTTTTTCCTCCTCTAATTGACTTACCTCTTCTTCCTCTAAATCCGTTGCCTCTGGGCACCCAGAAGAAACGTAAATTGGATTATTAAACACAAGTGCTATTTTTATCAGTCATTGTTCCTGTGAGAACATAAAGCAGTGCATGCTGTTTTAAAAAGGAAAAAACAAGACCAAAACAAAACCTTTATTTTAAACAGGTCTTTTTCATTTCTGTTTTTAACAATTTTATCTGCTGTACCAAAAGCAGTGTTTAGACCAGCTCTGAGCTCACATTACAGTACATACTCTATCACCACTGCTCTCTAGGAAAGGAGAACCCTCTGCTCCTGGAAGGGCGTCTATGTCATGAACATTATCTGGAGGTAGAGAGGCAACAGCAGATTATCGATTTGGGTAGTGTAAGCTTCCAGAAGAGAAACTAAACTCACGGACGCCAGAATCCAGGCATAGCTGGAATTCAGATTCACGCTGCTGTCAAAGATCAGAATAAGAGCTACAGCGATGATCTGGGCAAAAATAGCTGTCATGGTCCCTTCAAAGGTCTTCTTTGTTCCCGGCCATTTGATTTCTCCCATTGTACTGCCAAAAATGGAGGCAATGGTGTCTCCCACCCCGACCGCCAGTACCCCGGAGTAGGGGACCAGTGCTCCTGCCCCAGACAAGGTCCCTTTAGGAGCACAAGATCTGGGGAACAACCACACCGGGAGGGACATGCCAAGAAGCAGATAAATATGAGTCAAGATTAAAGGTCCACTGTCTCTTTCATCCAGGAAGAGAGACAGCAAATGCCTCAGGGTCTGGCCCAAGGGTTTGATCCTGAAGTACCGAATATACTCTAGGAAGATAAACACTGCCAGACACAGTACTGCAGCAACGTAGAGCAGCTGACGGTCATAGATTAGTCCAGGGACATATGTAGCTACAACAATGAAATGGAAATATTTCCTGGTTACAGTGGAGGCTTGGTGTTTTTTAGATTCGGATGATCTCTTAGCATTCTGGTAGAAAACTACTCCACATGCTGAAGCAGCCAGGAAGGTCCAGTAAGCAAGAAGGTAAACCCTTGTCTGTGTCTGAAACAGAAACTGGAGCAGCCAGAACAAAGGGTTCCTCTGGATCAGCCGGTACAGCCAAGGCATGATGACCCCTAAGCCTAGCACTGCTGTCATCATGTGGAAAAACATGGAGGAGATCCACGTACCCGAATCCATGAAAATGAAGAGAACAGTGAAAAAAAGCCCAAGGAGAACAACTCCAACAACTGCTACCAGAAGGAGAAAGTCTATGGGATCACCTCTGCCCTCAACTACATTCAGTGAGCGTTTAATGAGCTGATTGAGAACAAAACTTAAGCCTCCGAGAACGAGCAACGCTTCTCCAGGAGTAAAACATCGGGGCAGCAAGTACAGCAAGATCATACTGAGGTAGACAAAAATTAGCAGCACTTCCAGAACCTCTATCACTTCTGAAACAGTCAAAGAGTGCTTCATGGTATAGATAATGATACTGCCAGCAACACCCGTGAGTATGCAGGTGTTGGTTGGCACAGGTTTTGTGATGCCAACAGCTATTACAGACAGAAAGAGAGCAACCAGCATGCCCGTGGAAGCTACAACGATGCCAAAACGTTCAAAGTACACAATGCCAGCAGCCTTGCACCTCTCCTTCATCGCTATCCCCAACAGGGGGATGACCATGCTAGCTGGCAGGAGGCCACTGTTGGCTGCCGTACGGAACTGGAACACGGCCCCACCCAGCTGCAGCAGCCGGTCCCATTTGAACTGGACATAAAAAGCCTGGACGGCAAGAGCGACAGCGCACCAGGAGTACCGGTCCCACACCACTGCGTGCACCGAGAGAACGATGACGAACACGATCAGGGATTCCACCAGCACCGGCTTGTTTAACATGATTCCAGTCCAATGATGCTCAATCTTTCAAAATCTTTCTCAGGAGTCCTGATGTGCTCAGTAGTTGTCCATTAGGAAGAATTCCCTTTCATGCTACAGCAATTCCTATTGGGGAAAAAAAAAAGCAAACAATTAAAGCAACTACTGGAAAAGCTAAAACTTCTGCACAGCTCTTTTGTTCTTAAGCTCAGTTTAAACTGATAAATATGTGCCAATTGTTAAGGTCAACACACATGTGAATAAAAAAAAAAAACATAAGAGGTAATGGATCAGCCAAAACTGTCAGAACTGTCAAGATAAGCTAAGTTGGAAGTCTGAGCATAGAAAATCAAATGAACAGAAATCATTTTGCCCGCAGCCATGACAGCATGTTCAGCACATCCTTACTATTAAGCAGCTTAATTTG